TAGCAGTAGTAGTAGTAGTAGTAGTAGTAGTAGAAGTAGTAGTAGTAGTAGTAGCAGTAGCGCAGCAGTAGTAGCAGTAGTAGTAGTAGTAGTAGTAGTAGTACTAGTACTAGTACTAGTAGTGGTGGCAGTGGCAGTGGTAATGGTAGCGAGGCGTTGAGTAGTACAGTAGTCGCTGCTGATGCGGTCGGCGACGACGGGTTGTTGCGACCTTGGCTACATGCGCATACCCGACGGATACGTATGATCAGGATTTTGCAATTCGGGCCCCTACACTCTCTGCAGTTCGACGTGAGACTCAGCGGAGTAGGGCCAAGGGCCTGTCATCCTAATCTCCATGGCGGGCGGCGGAGCCGAACCTTTAGCACTTTCACACTGTCCGTTTCTAAACCCTTAATTCGCCCTCATTCATCAGCAAGGTTTGTTCTCTGCAATGCGAGAGGGAATAATTCATCAGCGCAACCTCTGGCATGGTAATCTGAATTCAGAGGCAGCCATCCGCGCCTACGGAGACGAGGAGCGGCTCTCCAAAGAGATGCCTGGGGCTCGAAGACAGGGTATTGTACCAAGCATACAGGGAGAAGCTTCCTGCTCAACCCAGTTTGCTCTGGTGGCAAGTTGCCACCATGACGATTCGTATGTTCTTGCGGCATGATTCCAGGTGCATACAAATGGACAAGACGCTGAAGGCTCACAGTGCTTCCTGGGGTTGCTGCAGTGAGGTACAGCCTGGGGAGTCGCCTCACTTGAACCGACTTGATCCTGGCACAGGTGTGCATGATGAGTCACAACGTGCTGAGACGTTGGTTGGGAAACCGTGTACAGTACCTGCCGGTACCTCAGAAGGCGCACGATCTCCTGTCTCTGTGCAGCCCTGTGGATACAGGAGCCAGCGTACGTTCCGTGCCCGCGGGTCTCTTTACAAAACCCAAATGCTGCAACGGCTCAGGTGGGGCTTCCTGACCAGCACAACCTACGTGGTTCCAGCCTTGGGTGTGGTGCGGTCATTACTCAGCGGTATGTGTACATACCATCTTAAGGATGCTCTCCAGTGCAGGCTGGCCTGCTCTATCCCGACAAAGTCGGCGCAGGGACACTGGGTGTTTGCTTGGAGCTTAGCAGGCTCAGGTGTTAGCCGTGGCATTCCTTGCCAGACTGGCTAAACATCATTCTGCATGTGACATGTCGGCCTGTTAGAGCTTCCTCGTCGCATCCTTCAAGCTGCTCCGAGGCATAACCAACTTGTTGATGATGCAAAATTTGATCGAGAGCAACATCGACAGCATCTTGACGGCACTTCGGGCTTCTGTGGGTCTCTTGTGTAGATGCGTCTAGCTGCATGACGTGTAGCGCTTCGTAATGCGACTTGCAGGATGTCGACTGATGCCAGTCCTACGCCGAGGTATTTAGTTTTGCTACCTACACCAATCAGCAGACATCGTGTGCCGGCAATCTTCATAACAACTACAGTACTGGTAGCAACACGTGCAGCTAAATCTACAGCATAGTAGTTTCCGAATGGCCATTCCATTGCAGAAGGCATTGCCAGCTGCTAGTCGAGCATGCATGGTGCTGACCCTGTCACCATAGGTGCCATCGGGTCGCTATTCGAGATCATTGCGCTTGTCGCTTTGCCGCATTGCTGGGGTTTGCAATTGGTTTTGTAGTTCGGAAAAACCAGAAAAACTGTACATGTGGAGGTGAGATAGGAGCCGGCAGTCCTCCCCTTCTGAAAGAACCAAACTAGAATGGAAAATATTTGATGGTTTGCATTGCCTGAGTCCAAGTTAGCCGGTGGTGTTAGCGAAGAAACAGCAGGCGAGGATCCATGAATATGTGGACGCGGGACGCTCAGTGCTTTCGTTGCTGAATGTTTTTCAGCAGGCCGCAGACCCTGTGCACACGGTGGGCAGTACCTGATCGGCGATGGGAGTCTTGCAGGGAAGTGGTCCCTTCGGAATCGAGTCTTGACTGTCTGTGCGTCCTTCAGAGATCTTCAGAGTTCCTGAAGACTCGACGGGCATCATGCCTGGTGATAAATGTCGGACTTTGTAGCCCGGCAGCAGCACAACAAAATGGAAGCAGAAGCGGACCTGACGCCACTGACTGCATATAGGGAAGCAAACGATCAACACGCACAATTCCCTTGTGTGCAGGCAGAATGTGTGAAGACGAAATCTTCTCGAGCCATTGAAGATGAGATGTGAATAGCTGTGATGCTCTAGGAACTGCGTTGATTGCAATTGTTGCGAACTGCCTTACCTTGTACGTGCTGGCGCCATGCGAATCTTGCCCGCGCTGGTCGGTAGTCATCTGACTCTGGAGGCCGACGTAAATATTTCGCTGAGAGGGCTCCAGTGCCGGTTCATCAGTGGAACGTGCTTCAGGTGCCTCAAGAGAGCTGCTTGACAAGCGTGGTCCCCGAGATGGGAGGATGCGAGTGCGAAATTTCGAGTAGAGTCGAGTTTGCCTTGAACAGACCACAGCCTAGCATGCTGCAGCAGCTTGAACACCACAAACACAACTACCATGGCATGCTTGCCCGCCGTATGATAAGCCCAGGTAACACCGATGCTGCGTGCTGGCCTCAGACCATAACATCTAAAACGCCTAGAGCCATCAAGAGCCGTGCTACCATGCATTGGACTTTGCTCACGACTTGCTGTCTAAAATCGCTGCTTCGCATTTCCAGAATTGAAAAGTGTTACTTCGTGTCGATTCTAGTTTTAACGGTTCCTGAGCGGGTCAGCACGGCTCCTGGTGGTCTGAGCTAAGGTACCGCAGCTTTACAGTGCGAGTTCCCCGAAGTGCCGCCATCTCAAGCTTGCGGCGAGAGTTTTGCAAAATGAGACGATTTACAGCCAGACGGCCAAGCACATCAGTTTAGAAAGCGCGTCAAGCCTAATGGAAGCAGAGGGACAGATGAAGAGAGGCAAGCGCGAGCCCCAGGCCTTGGGCGTGTTGAAGTGGTGGCGCCATGGCGAGATTGTGCAGGTCTTCCGAGGTGGGATCGGGAACCCGCATCCTATAATGCTATTGCTCGCGGCCTGGCACACAGCACCACCTTGAGGGCTCGGGTGCGAGAGCCAAGCATCCTTGCACCCTGAACCGTGAATGTGGTAGTTGTTGTTGGCATGGCTGCTGCAAGCAAGGTGGCTGTGCCCCGCGCAAATCCATGGAGCCCCGAAGCAAACACAAAGCAAAACGGCCGTGAGACTCGAGTTGACCAGTATCGCAGTCGGGCCACCTTCCGAGATGTTCAGGAGCTTGGGCGATTGTGCATACTCGTGACTTGGTTTGGTTTAAAGAGCACGTGTATACTGTATACGTGCCGCGACATTGACCTGAGTTAACCTGCCCCCAAATGTGCTTGCTGTCTAGCAGTAGCGACAGTGAGCACCGACCGTGGAACATGGCCATTCACACAATGGGACATCATCATGGATATCGTAAGGCATTTGCCATGTTGCATCGTAAACATAGTCGGTGCACATCTTGGTATGAATATGCAGTTCCTGAGCTCCGTCGCTACGAGACCTGCAGGTGGAAAGCTATTGTTGCAGTCCTCTGCAGACAACAAGGACGTGGGCTCAGACCCAGGGTGAAACGAGATGAAATACTGCATGGGCAGCAATACATACATGTGCATGCTCACGTGTGTCTGTGTGTATATAAATATATGTACACACACACACATTTGTACGTGCATGTGTAATGTCATGTAGTGTAATGTAGGGCCATGTAATTAATGTAATATTTTGAATGGATGGATGGATGTATGCTAGCTTTGCTATCAGGCTTGTTTGGTATCCATGTTATCTGCGTTGTGCATGGTATGTCAATAGCCTGCTACGTATATGTTGCTACATGTGTATAAATATATAAATACATAAACAAATAAGTATGTATATATATATATATGTATATAAATAATTAGGCGATGCTTGTCGAGTGCGAGTGCCAAAATATAATTATTTATCAGATATATTATATATGGATAGTACATTGTCTGCATGTTCCGTACGTTCTGTACGCTATGCATGTTATGCATATTGCACATGTGTTCTATGCACATCATGTATTTCTGTATTTCATGTTATTAGTGTTTGTGACACATGTGATGCATGCATTGCATGTCTGGAACTGCATGCATGCATGCATGCATGCATGCATGCATGAATGTACGTCTGTAGGTATGTGAGTCGAATGACCGCACATGCTGCGAATCTATTATGTAGTGCGCATGCAACATACAACAATACGAACACGCTTGCAGGCAGGCGCACGAGAGGGAACTCACAAAGCTGGTTTGATGGAGAGCAGTTGTCGGTGGCTTGCGTGTGAGCATGCAGCCTGCCCGCCTGAATGTCCCCAACTTCCTCTTCGGCGTACCCGGATGTCGATGAGCAGACACAAAGAGTCGATGCCGATTCCAAGCCACCACTGTTGAACCCTTCTGCACGCATGCGGAATTGCACGGCAGGCTTTGCTGCCAGCGGTTGCCTTCGAAAAAGAGGCAGCGGCTCGCTTTTGCAGCAGGGCTTAACATGAACTCAGCCATTGGCGGCGCCCTCATCTACATACAGGCAAATCGGACCCTTAATTGCACCGATTGTTCAACCTGTGGACATGCGCCCTAACCTGCAATCAATGAACGCACCTGACTCGTGCAAGTGCCAGACTGTCACGGCTTTCGATTTTCGTGTGCAGGGCTCCCAGCTGCACGACCTCTGCCTTCAAAATGCAAGACTACGGGAGGCACACGCCTGGTGCGGAGCCTAGTTTCACCGGTTTACTACTGCCACTACTCACGACTACAACTACTACAAAACTGCTACACCACCCCGACGACGACTGCTTCCACTGCTTACTGCAACTACAACTACAACAGCAGCAACAACTGCAATTACTACTACTACTACTACTACTACTACTACTACTCTACTACTACTACTACTACTACTACTACTACTACTACTATTACTACTACTACTACTACTCCTACTACTCCTACTACTTAGACTAGACTATACCTTAATTTTCTTTTACTATACTACTACTACTACTACTACTACTACTACTACTACTAACTACTAACTAACT